ACACACGCAGACGGACACACACACACGCAGACATACAGACACACACACTTTTCTTCTCAGGACATATTTGTAGCTACATATGCAGAGAAAGCATACGATTTTAATCGACATAATAATTTTTAACGCTCTTCTAAAAGTGGATTATGTTAATTCAATATAAGCGGGCTCTCTTTTTCTCAATCTCTCACTCATTTTCTTCCTTTCATTCTTTCTCTTCTTTTATTTTTCCAGAAGCTATTCATTCCTACAATTGTTTCTTGTTCTTTTTTTAATTTTTTTGTTCGTTTTTCGTTCGGAGGGTCAGAAAAAAATGTTTTTTTTCATTTAATTAGCCGGAAAAAGATGCGTTCATTGTTGGTTTTTATTGCTCTTTATTTTTTATTTTATTTTGCTGTTGTTTTTGGTTTGTAGATTGTTTCGAAGTTGTCGTTCTTTTGTTGTTGTTGTTGCTGCTGCTGTCCATTGTTAGTTTTTATGATGTTGCAACAGCCTGTACGAGTTGCATTTTGTTGTTGTTGTTTTTTTTCTTCTGTTTTTACTTCCGTTGTTTGTTTGAAAAGAAATACAAAAAAGCAAAACTATTTACAACATACAACATTAAAAAAATGCAAAACAAACAAACATACAAACAGATCATACATCAAAAGCATATAAGGATAATAACCATAAGAAACAAATAAAACCTGAAAAATAAATAAAAAGACAAATAAAAACAATAAAGTACAAAAATTGTTTTTCCAAAAAATGTTCTCAAACAGTTCAATTTCACGCTTTGCTAACTATTGACTGAACTTACATAAAGTTCTAACCCATCATTCTAATGACAACCTTTAAAGATGTTCTTGGAAAGTTGAATTTTCAGAAATTGAGCTATATAAGTACATATAAATTTATTGAATGATTGACTGATGGTAATTAAAAGATGAAGATTAATATGAGATGAAACATACATAATTTTTTGTTTTGTGCGTATGTGTGCGTGTGCTTGTGTAATTTTTGAAAATTCTCGCAAAAATTAAAAATTAATTAGATTCAGAAACAACAACGCTAACAACATCAATAAACCCCAAATAACAATCCATCAAAGAATGATAACATCACCACCATCTGACGCCATAGTACTGACTTCAATAACAACGAAGAACAAAGGAATAACAACTACATAGATGAGGAATTCGACACCAACTAAGTAAATCACTTTGCTAAAAGACTAACTTCCATTTGTTTAAAGAAACTTTATAAACTAACCCTGAAATTTCCAAAAAATTTTAGTAAGGAAAATTGAAAAGACAAACGTTAAATTGATTAACGCCAACAATTCGGTAGAATTCATACAATAATGCCTAAAATATGGTCTCCTTACAATACACACACTAATAAAACAAGTACATACATACATGCATGCATGCACATGCATACTCAAATCCGTACACATACAAACACATATGCAAAATACATACAAACATTTGCACACATACAAACACACAGACAAACAAACACATAGAATTATATTAAAAATAGCATGATATTTACAGCAGTGTCAGCCAGGATATGAAAGAGCATCGATTTAAATATAAAACCATGAAAACATTTTACTATAAGGTGCCAAGTTCTCAACATTATGATGTTTTATGATGCGTTCGTGTGTGTGTTTGCCTGTCTCTTTGCATCTTTGTTTGTATGTTTGGGTTTACAGTTTGTATGTTTTTGATCTTTGTATGTGGGTTGGAGTGGTATTTTTTAAGTCTTGGCTGTTCGTATGTTGTTTTTTAATACAAAAATTGTTGCACATAGATATTTTTTTATTAAAATTTTAATAGGTGTGTGTTGTAAGCAGTAGTTGTGTGAGTGTGTGTTTGTTTGTGTGTGTGTTTGTGTGTGAATTTATGCGTGTGGTGTGTGTGGTGTGTGTGTGTGTTTGCACGATTTTATAAATTTATTTCCCCACAAAATTTGATTCAATATCATTAAAACTTTTCAAATGTTCAACAAAATTTCACATTTTTTTCGTATAAGAAGAGAAATTTAATTCCTTTATAATTTGCTCTTTTCAATGGATGCTCCGCCATCACCATTGACATTTATGGGCTTTTCCAATCAAACATTCCTAAGTCTAAAACACACACACACACGTGCATGTGTGTGTGTGTGTGTGTGTGTGTGTTAATTTAAATATTTCTTCTCTCCTCTGTTTTTTCTACCTCTCTCTTTCTCTCTCTTTCCCAAAAATACATTTCTTATCTATTCTTTCTCTCTTTCTCTCTTTTTCTTTCTCTCCCTCTCTCTCCCTTTCTCTCTCTCTTTCTCTCTCCTCTCTCTCTCTCTTTCTCTCTCTTATGACTTTATGCTATTTTCTAGCATGAAGCTAACAAATAATTTATTAGGAAAAAATCAATTTATTTAAATATTCATGGTTGCCGGCATACAAACATACATACAAACAAACATTTCCTACAAACAAACATTACATACATATATACACACATACATACAAACATACATACATGCATGCAAATAAACAAACGCATACACACTCACTCAGATATACAAAAACATACACACACATACAAACAACACGCATACAAACAAAATGTCTTTTTGCTATCCGCTGCATTAAAAGATGTGCGAATGTACACAGTGCTAGTTGTGTACGTTGTATGTACGCAAATAAAATAAGCGTATTTATACATTCATCTGTGTATGTATGTATGTATCTAGGTATGTTTGTATGTATGTATCTAGGTATGTTTGTATGTATGCATTATATATGTATATACTTCTTATTTTTATTCTTTTGTGCAATACTCCGAGAGGTAATATTGAACATAAGATCCGTGCAGTGAGTCGAGTCCATACCATATGTGTGTGTGTGTGTGTATGTATGTGTGTGTATGTGTGTGTGTGATTTGGCATTCTGTACTGTATTATTGTGTACATATACATACATACATACATTTATCTACATACATACGTACGCATACACACGCACACACGCACAAACACACGCACACAAAAACAAAAAACAAATATGTATACACAGTATCACACATACAAACGCGTCAACAAAAACATACATACATACATTGATAAAACACACACGCACACGCACGCGCACACACACCTTCTCTTTTTCACACACACACACACAAACACTCGCACACAGCTGCATTTAATAATTTGGGAACTGCCATCTTTCGACAGAAAGAAACTTTTAACATTCGAGCAAAAAAACGTTCCCAAAGGCTCTATGAAAAGGCAATGAAGAAAATTTCCTTGGACAAAATTAAAACAGAGTATTTGAATAAAATAATAATAATATAAATAATAAAAATAATAATAACAATAATATGTTATTATTAGTAATATTTTTTCATTAATATCAATGAAATAGTAGTAGAAATAGTAACTGGCCCCCACCCACGCATTGTAAAAAAAATTCTTTACTCTATAAAGAAAATAAAAATCGAATTATTCAAAGTCAAACTAATTCACATTTTAAAATGGGGAATGAAAAATTTAAAAGTTGATTTAATATTTAAAAAAAACTACGGAGCCAAACAAACCAGAAAAAAGAAATTGACGACGACGAGGAAGACCCGACTGCAGATGGAAAGAAAACTGTTTGTGTGGTCGTCATCCTGCTGGCATCTCTCCTTCAGTCGTCTGCAGCCTCCCACCACACTCCTCCAGGCGTTCCTCCCAACGCTACTTCCGTTTCCGGGTCCGCCTTCGCATCCATTTCCGGTTACGATGACACCGGATGTGGCCAAGCATTGGCTTCTTCGGGATTTCGAGTCGCACGATTCTGAAGTCGCGGCTGTCGACGACGGAGTGATTGTGGTCGTTGTTGTCATCAGGTTATTTGGAATCACGTGATTCGATTGTTGCTGCTGCTGCTGCTGTAAGTGGTGGTGGTGGTGATGGTGGTGGTGGTGGTTGTGGTGAGAATAGTGGCTGGAGCGATCCGGGTCACATGACATTGCGATATCCAATGTTTTCATCTCACTCTCGTCCAGCATGGCGCTCGGGTACCTGTTGAAGTTTATGACGTCACCGTTCGCCATTTTGTTTATTTTCTCGTTTGTGATTGGCCGGTTGATTTACTCTACTCTGATTGGCTGGTTGATTTGGTCGTTTGTGATTGGTTGGTTGACTTGCTAGATTGTGATTGGTTGGGTGATTTACTCGATTTCAGATGTTGATGATGACATTATCTTCGTGTCTTTAATGTCTTTGTCGTTGTTGTTTGTTATTTTTGTTAATGTTTTTAATGTTGTTGTTGATATTTGTGTTGTTTACGCTGTTGTTGTTGATGACATCATTTTGATGAGGTTGTTGTCGATTTTGTTTTTGATGTTCTTGTTGATGTTGTTGATGTTTTT